GTTGAAGTGTTCTGGAACAGTGTTGTAAATACAACTTAACCACTGATTTCTAGTCGTGTCCTCTTTTGGAAGGCCAAACAAAGTATTTTCGCTTTCACTACGAAACACACAGTGTCACACACGACGGCCTTCAGTGAGCGGAGGCCGGCGGGCTAGAGTGAGTGGCACCCGGCGGATTCGACGAAGGAGCGGCCGACGGGCTTGCGGCAACCACGTGACTACCCCGGGCTGGACTGGCCTCATGTATTTCCTCAGCGACCAGCACTGATCAGCTCCAGGCATGACAAAGCGGATATCATTCTCTTTTGGAAGGCCAAACAAAGTAGTTTCGCTTTCACAACGAAACACACAGCGTCTTTCCGACATGGCGGCAGCAACAATACTACAGCGAGAGTAAAAGTTATGCCTTCTTTCTTTGCATGAACATTTGGGCGGCGTTATGCAAATCTTACCACATCTTGATGTAGACATGTGGGGGCTTGTTAGAACAAGCCGTTTTAGGTAGGCGTGGTTGACTCTTTAACTTTTATAAAGAATATCTCTTTGGATTTGAGACTTTACAGATCTTCTTTATGCACCAAGAGCTTGTAACACTTCAAAGAGAAAGGAAAAATTGAAATCGCATCACATGACCCCTTTAACTCCTTAAAATGTTGATATTTAGCTGTTAAAGTGCTCTATGTAGAATACAGAAACCCTTGTTATTAGCGATAAGTTATTGTCCGTTAAGTAACTTATTGCTCATGCTCTTGCACACACTCGATAATAGGCCTAATACGAGCGAGCAACGGCCAGTGGGATTCCGCGACATCATGTTGACAGATGAGGTTCATTCAAATTTCGCTGTAACGACAGTTTCCCTTGGATTTCCCAGCAAAACTGCCCTGAGTCATTCACATAATAATTAGTCTACAGGCTTTCATTTTTTTAAGTTTCATTACATGCTGTTCAGACATTGGCAATAATATTTATTTAAATTTAATACTTGAAAAAATTCTGTTTTTCTATAAAAACAAGTAACTAACTTTTGCCAAGCAAGCTAGTCACTTGTCAGCTAGCAAGTTAAGTTATAGAGCTGCTTTTTCTTCTGTCCTGTAATAACATTCAGTGAGCAATATCTGATATCTGAGTATATATTTTAATAAATTCTTAGTTTGCACTGAGCACCAAAACAGCTTCTTTCATTTTTCCCCCCAGTTGGAACCATGGACGAATTAAAGGTTTATTTCACCCAAAAATGGAAATTCTGTCATTAATTACTCACCCTTGTGTCGTTTCACACCCTAAGACCTTCGTTCCTCTTCCGAACACAAATAGAGATCTTTTTGATGAAATCCGAGAGCTTTCCCTCCATAGGCAGCAAGCAATTTACACATTCAAATCCCAGAACGGTAGGAAAGACATTGTTAAAGTATGTGACTTCAGTGGTTTAATCTTAATTTTATGAAGCAACACGAGTGCTTTGTTTGCACAATAAAACAATTTACAACTTTATGAAAATATTGATCTGCATTGTGTTCACGAGAGCATTAAAACGCATTTGTGTTGTGTTCATGCCATAGAAGACTTGCATCAACACAACGCACATGAGTGAGTGTTCACTAGAGTACCACAACACGTGTTTGGATAATATTTTCGGAAATAAAGTGGTAAATTATGTTTTGTTTTTTTGTGCCAAAAAAGCACTCACATCACTTATTAATAAAATCGGATCAATGATATACTTAATTACATTTACTTGATGTCTTTCTTACGTTCTGGACCTTGTGTAAGTTGCATGACTGACTGTAGAGGGACAGAAAGCTCTCAGATTTCATCAAAAAATGGCCAGATTTACGCTCCAAAGATAAACAAAGGTCTTAGAGTATTGGAATGACATGAGGGTGAGCAATTAACAACAGATTTTTTTTGGGGGGGGAAACAATTTTTTGAAAACAATTTTTTGAAAGAACACAATATACAAAATAAAAATTATATGGTATTTGTGTGTACACGTGTGTTATGTCCGAAATGTAAATAAGAAGCTTGGTGTGTCAAATAAATACATGTATAAATAGTATTGTGTTTTTTTGTGAAGAAAGATATTGTATTATCTGAGAATAAAATGAAATACTTGATTATGTATTTTGAGTATTTCAAATACAAAACTATCTCTCAAAGTATTTAATTACAAATTACTTTTGATTTTTTTGTCCAACAAAATACAAATTTTATACGTAATTAAATACGTATTTCAAATACATTTATGCCCATCTCTGTTTATGAAGAATTAGAAACAGTTCTTTGCTCAGAAAGGATATCGGCAGTGGGCTAGTGAGTTTCCTAATAAATGTAGTTTTAGGGTTAATTTTTCTTTTTGGGGAATCACCTAGCATGAGCAGTACTGAGTGATGGCTTTTATTGCAAGATGTGACTAAGTAGAGTCTACAGCAAGACCAGCATATTGAAAGCATCACTCAAGATGCATCACTGTTAGATTTCAGAACCCAGATACAGAAGAAGTGGATAAACGGTCACTAAAATAGACCATAACTAGATTCTATTAGATGGGTAAAAATAGGAAAAGTAACACTTTTCTATAAAGAAATTGGAAGTAAACATCCATATCCATAAGTGTTTAACCAGTGTAGAGAAGTGTACAGGTGTTTTTTTTTTCCTCAGTGGATGCATAAGATTTACTGACAAAAAATGAAAAAAAAAAAAATTAGTCAGATTTTTTTTTAATTACTGTCAACCCCCCCACACACATGTTAACAGGTCACCCTGCGGTTGTCTGTAAAATAAAAGTTTTCTGTAAAATACAATGATATTATAATTATATTTATTCTTAAATACGTATTTCTTATTTTGTTTGTTTTTATATAATAGTATTAGAACATTAATGCCATGTTTAAGTGATGAGCATCACTACTTGTGGTTGTTTTCAGAGATGGTAACATGTTTTATTCTTGTGCTACAATTGTGTGTCCTGTGCTACAAACCTTACAACATTTCAAGTTAACGTACAGCCCTAAAAAGGTAGCCTTTACCATAGCATTTGGGCCAAGTTGTAGCTGACTAATTTACTTGACAGGTTTTTGATGAGTCTTCAAAGTGTCATCTTTCTAAATTTTTCAACACAACATGTGCCTTGAGTCAAAATGAGTACCACTGTAATATTGAATGGTCATGGTCATGGCATGAATGCCTCCCAAAATGATTCAGTGACAGTAATTGTGGATAAACATGAAAAGCCCATTTGGAGAGTCATGCCATTGTATAAGAAATTATTCATCTTCATGTTCTTAGTATACCAAACCTAATGGAAAATCACCATTCCAGATTTACACTCCCACGTCGCCCCCTGTTTACCCCCTAAACAGAGGCTGAAAATTGACGGTAAATATGATTGACTATAAAAAAAAAACACATTGGTAAAGGTATAGTTCCCAAAAAATAAACTAATTTTATGTAATTCCTCTCACCCTCATGCCATTCCAAACCCATATGATTTACTTTTTTCTGCAGAACACAAAAAGACATAAAAAATGTTGGGCCAGTTCACGCCACACAGAGAGACGCACCCCAATGCAACAGCCAACCGAGTACAGTACATAATTTCTCAGGTATTCCAAGATATTCCGACAAAC